AGATTTACATGAAGCAGCCAGAAGGGTTCACTCAAGCTAGACAGGAGCATATGGTTTGCAGGTTAAAGAAATCGTTGTATGGGTTGAAACAACCTCCAAGACAATGGTACAAGCGGTTTGACTCCTACATGATGCAGATTGGCTACAGACGATGTGAATATGATTGCTGTGTTTATGTGAAAAGTCTTGATGATGATTCTATTATTTTTCTGTTACTGTATGTTGATGATATACTGATTGCTGCAAAGAATATGAATGATGTCCGTGGTTTGAAAGCTTTATTGAGCCAGGAATTTGACATGAAAGACTTGGATCCTACGAAGAAGATTCTTGGAATGGAGATTCATCGAGACAGAGGCTCAAGACGATTATGTTTATCTCAACGAGGCTATGTTGAGAAAGTGCTGGAAAGGTTTGAGATGAGCAATGCAAAGCCTGTAAGCACTCCTTTGGCAAATCATTTTAAGCTTTCTTCAGAACAGTGTCCTAAGACAGATACAGAAATGGAAGACATAGCTAAGGTTCCATATGTCAGTGCAGTTCTGAAGGGTACTGTAGGACATGGAATTATTTTTGGCAGTCAGAAGAATGATCCTTCAGTTGTGGGGGATGTTTATTCAGACTATGCAGGTGATTTGGATGGCAGAAGGTCTACAACTGGGTATGTGTTTACTCTTGGTGGAGGGCCTATATGTTGGAAATCAACAATTCAGTCTATTGTGGCATTATCTACAACTGAAGCAGAGTACATAACAGTAATTGAAGCTGCTAAAGAAGCCTTATGGCTTGCTGGGCTAGTAAAAGAACTGGGCATTGAGCAAGGTGGAGTTCAGTTGCATTGTGACAGTCAGAGTGCTATTTATCTGGCTAAGAACCATGTGTACCATGCGAGAACCAAGCACATTGATGTCAGGTATCACAAGATCAGAGAGTTGATTGCTTCTGGGGAGATACTGTTGCAGAAGGTTCATACTGATGAGAATGCAGCTGATATGTTGACCAAGCCAGTTACTATCAACAAGTTCTTGCATTGCTTGGACTTGTTGAATGTTTGCAGTTGCTAGAGAAGCATGGTGACCCAACCCACGATGGTGCAGTTGTAACTCCCAGGTATTTTTCTCCTAAGGGGCTGGATATTCGCCAAGGTGGAGATTTGTTATGGTATGACTCATATACCATATCAGGACAGACGCTGGATCTAAGCGGAGCGGAGCGGAGCGGAAGAATCTGTCCAAATTGGGAAGTTACGTGGGTTGGAGTGCGGGGGCAAAGCCCCGCGGTTTGGTACAGGGGTAATGTTGTAATTACATATTGTGCCTAGGTTTACTCCTGGGGTTATAAATAGGTCTGTTAGTAACCCCAGGAGGTATCCCTGAATTCTGTAAACTCTTTTCTGATTATAGAAAGAAACTCGCCGCTCTGCTCCCGATGACGTAGGCATCTTTGCCGAACCTCGTTAAATCTCTGTGTTCTTCTGGATTTGTGTCGATTACTGTTTTTCTTCGCCCTAATTTTCTCAACACCAACCATGAAACTGTTATTTGAAAATATTCCAGAACAAGCCATATGGAGCAAAGAATTCATCATCCACGGATGAATTATGCTGATGAATTTATAGGATAAGGAGCATGCAGTTTCAAGAAACTGAATGTCAATTATATGAAATTATCAATCATCTCAACACAAACGGAAATGTTTATATTTTGTATTAAGAGGCAAGAGGAGTGTAATTACCAAGGCAGGCAACCAAGTAACTTCCAAAAGCGTACAAAGCAAATGCTTCATAGCAGTTCCTTAATATGTCACATATTATTGAAAATCTTGCTTTCCATAAAGAGAATAACTGAAATGATAACAAAAAATAATAAGAAGGATTTACCATAAAGAATTGTTTCAGGCATGATGAGCAGTTTACAGATCAGAAGATAAAGAACAACTAAGACGCATGCTTAAAACATAGAACTAAAAAAATAAGAAAGATTTACTTACAAACCATTCAATTCCTATTTATTTACATATCTAACACAAACTTTCAATTTTTACATAAATACATCATTTACTATGCATGAAAAGGTATACTTCATTTTTCTAAAAGTTAATAAGTGGTATTTTTATGTGATAACAAAGATTTGGGTGGTATAAATGGAAAAAGGTAAGTTTAGGTGTTAAATATGTAAATAAATAGGAACCCATATTGAAGCATATCGGAGATTAATCCGTTCTAAAGTGCAGTGCAATCAAGCTGACAATATTATTAATGCAAAAAACTAAATAAACGCTTACCCTCTTTAATACAATAACAATTAGGTTCATCCCCGCGTTTACATCAGTGCCAGCCATTTCCTGGCTTAAGTATGTCATAAACTTGCACAATTAACTTTACTACTCATAACATCCACTATGCCAAGAATATATTTGTACTTACTACAGCAATACCATCATCAATCTTAAATAGGGCTATTGATATTGCTCGATGTTCATGAATACTTGTATTTGTCTCACTAGCTTGAATTTGGCTCATTCATTAATGAGTTGATTTGAAGCAAAGGTTATCAACTTTTTTGCAAATCGAATTGAACAAAAATAAAAGCTAGATTGACTTATTGAAATCAAAGTACTTTTTCAATTACCTTTTTTTATTATTGAAAATAGAGTACTTGAAATTTATAAATATACAACAATAATAGGCAGAAAAGGTTAATTTTTTGAATGTCTTATATAATTAAGCCAATGAATGCACTCTAAGCCAATTAAACACCTTTTTTATTGCTTTTTTTTTTAATTATTGCAAATAGAGTACTTGAAATGTATAAATATACAGTAATAATGGACACACAGGTTCACTTTTTAGACATTATATCATTAAGCCAATCAATGTACTTTTCTTTTTAATTATTGAAAATAGAATACTTGAAATGTATAAATATACAATAATAATGGACACCAAAGGTTTATTATTTAGACGCATATTATATCATTAAGCCAATGAATGTACTCTAAGAATGAGGGACAAAATATATTTTAAGTTCTATAATGATTAAAAGAGGTAAGATGAAAAGTTACAAATATGCTTTCATGCAACTAAACCCATCAACCAAGAATTTTTCAAGGCATACGATTGTCATTGACTTTGTTAGCTATTCATGTTTAATTCAATTTCAGCTTAAATAATAAAAAAGCCGAACTTAAATGAGATTTTTTTAATTTAATGAACTATAATTTGCCTCTTATTTAGCAGGACAATTGACGAACCAAACCAAATAATGGCCTAGTTAATCCATATTTTGCTTTGTCATAACTGACTCAATATGAGCTTGATGTTTTATGCAGTGCACCCAATCTAAGATATATTATACAGGATTTAACATATTCCTAGTGAAGGATCACATCAAATGGTTGTGATTGTGAATCATAAAGTGAAGATCAAGGCTGGATTGAGAGCCTAGATGATACTGGAGTTAACCTAAATCAGGTTGCAAGACAACAAATATTATTACTAAATAAAAACAATGATACAATGAAAACTCAAAAGAAAGAAAAATAACCTCACAAAGCAAAAGTGAAAAAACAATACAACAATGAAGACAAAACAAGCTTGACAAGGAGGGAGTTCGGGTGGTGGGGCAAGGCAAATCGCAGAGATAAAAACCGGAGAGGCGTCTGGAAGGAGGTCGACGTGAAAAAGAACAATGGGAGAGGGGTCCTGCTGGAAGGCAGCAAGATGGCGGCCTTCTGGATGGTAGGCGGCTGCTGGAAAGTGCCGAACGGCTGCAGACTGCTTGGAAGAGCTTGATGGTGCACTGGAAGAATGTCGACTTGAAGAACAAAGACAGGAGAGGAGCCCTGATGGATGGCAGCAAGGTGGCAACCTGTTGGGTGGTAGGCAGCTACTGGGAAGAGTCAGATGGTGTGCTTAAAGGAGGTCAATGTGAAGGATAGCCACGAGAGAGAAGTCCTGCTGA